GTTGGGGCAATGTCCCCCGCCCAAGCGGCTATTAGTGGACTCAAATCCAGCCCCCGGGTAAGCGTGGTACCCCCGTACGAGACCGCCAAAATTTTTTTCGGGTAAGTTCATAACTCGGGGTTCTGAGATGCTAGAAAGCTGAAATTTTAGGGTGATGTTCCCCGTCCAAGCACATGCTAATGGGCTCAAATCCAGACCCCGGGTAAACGTGGTACTCGCGTGCGAGCTCCCCAAAGTTTCGGCTAATGAGCTCAAATTCAGCCCGCGGGCAAGCGTGGTACCCGCGTACGGGCCCCCTGAAATTTTTCTCGCGCAGATTCATAACTCGGGGTTCAGAGACGCTAGGAATCTGAAATTTTAGGGGAATGTTCCCTGTCCAAGCAGGTGCTAATGAGCTCAAATCCAGCCCCCGGGTCGCGTATGAGCCCGCCAAAATTTTTTTCGGGTAAGTTCATAACTCGGGGATCTGAAAAGCTAGAAGGCTGAAATCTTGGGGTAATGTTCCCCGCCCAAGTGGGTATTAGTGGACTCAAATTCAGCCCCCGGGTAAGCGTGGTACTCCCGTACGAGCCCGCCAAAATTTTTTTCGGGTAAGTTCATAACTCGGGGTCCTGAGATGCTAGAAAGCTGAAATTTTAGGGGAATGTTCCCCGTCCAAGCAGGTGCTAAAGAGCTCAAATCCAGACCCCGGGTAAGCGTGGTACCCGCGTACGAGCCCCCCAAAATTTTTCCCGCGCATTTCATAACTCGGGGTTCTGAGATGCTAGAAAGCTGAAATTTTAGGGGAATGTTCCCCCTCCAAGCAGGTGCTAAAGAGCTCAAATCCAGCCCCCGGGTAAGCGTGGTACCCGCGTACGGGCCCCCCAAAATTTTTCCCGCGCATTTCATAACTCGGGGTTCTGAGATGCTAGAAAGTTGAAATTTTAGGGGAATGTTCTCCGTCCAAGCACGTGCTAATGCGCTCAAATCCAGCCCCCGGGTAAGCGTGGTACCCGCGTACGAGCCCGCCAAAATTTTTTTCGGGTAGGTTCATAACTCGGGGATTTGAGAAGTTTGAACGCTGAAATCTTAGGATGATGTCCAAGTGGGTATTAGTGAGCTCAAACCCAGCCCCGGGGTAAGCGTGGTGCTCGCGTACGGGACCGCCAAATTTTTTTTCGGGCAAGCTGGTAACTCGAGTACCTCAGAAGCTAAAGGACTGTAATTTTAAGAGGATATATCCCGTCCAACTGAGTTTCATTCAGCTCAAACCTGACTCTCGGGTATGCGTGTTAAACTCGTACGGGCCCATGAAATTTTTTTTCCAGTAAGTTGCTAACTCAGGAGCCAGGGGAGCTGGAAAGCTGAAATTTCAGGGGGGTGTTTTCTGACAGTTCTGACGGCCAGTCTTAATTTGTTTAGCTAGAAGCATTTGCCGAAAAAGCCGGTGCCGGTAGCAACAAAAATACGGGGAACTATGCAAAAAACGCATCTTCGCACGGGCAGCCCGTGCGTTGGCCAATTATGTGATTATGGGAAGTTCTGATCCATAGCTTTTTACAAATTCGGGCTTTATTCATGACAGTGGAAAGCGGAGGAAGAACACCGAGGCAAAAAAAAAGGGGCACTTTTTGGGCGAGTTCGAGCATTTGCGTGTGTGGGATGAGCCCAGAGGGCAAAAGTACTTTTCTGAAAAACTTATGAAGGTCGCAATTTCAAAAACTTTTGAAGACTATGAAACTTTTGAAGACTTTTGAGGACCTTGAAAATTTTTGAGGACCCCACTTTTCTCAATACTTTTGAAAACTTGAAACTTGTTATTTGCATATACTCATCTTTGTATTAAAACTTAATGGATTGCGACATACATATATTATATGTTGTATGTGTTTGTGTCAAATATAATACTTATTTACACTGCTAATTTAGAATAACGGCGATCCGGATGACCTTTCAATGCGTGGAGAAGCAGGGCTGATGCATTTCGAGCAATCTGTAGGGAGCGCTTCTTTGGACGAACGTGCGCATCACAGAGCTTCAAAAGCCAAAAATATCCGCAACATTAAGTATAAAAATTTCTTTTTTTTCTGTTATATGATATTTTAAATATCTCTATGTCTCGTGATAAAAAACTCAGTGGAGTATCATTTCAGAGTGACCGGTTTCGAAGGACAATACGCTAATCTTCCAAAAAAAGAACACATGTTCGAGTATCCGAACGAACTGCACATTTACTCATTCGAAAGCGGTGATTTGTCCGAATATCCGTCGCCAGCAAAAGATGAAGTTGGCACACCTGGCAAGTTATTTACCACTTTTTTCTCGGGGGTAGTTGCTAGAAAAATATGCGGGGCCAGAATGAGCTTAGGGGAGGGGGAGCGACGTCGGATAGGAAGGGGGGAGGCGACAGAAGGCGGGGAAGTGAGTCCCTTCCCACCCTCAAACTATGCAAAAATTAGGAATAAAGTTGAAACACTGTTACTTAGTTATTTTAGAGTTACTTTAGGCTTTAGTTTACCTTAGCTTTGGCTTAAGATCCGGGCTTTTGCAGCATTGGTGCCTGTGCCATTGGGGCTTTGGTCTTCCCCCCCCCCCCCCCCCCCCCCCCCCCCCCC